GGTCATTGTATTTATTAAATAAATAGCAGCTTTGCTTTTAATTCTAATTATGGTGAAAGGTCAATACATGGCATTTAGATGACATTTAAAAGTTTTGATTTAAGAGGATTTTGGTGAAAGTGAAGCATGTCATTCTCTAACAGTGTTTCACATGTAACCTATATATAGTACTATATGTAAAAGTGACTATGTTAGTTTCTGTGCAAAAACCTTCTTCTCTTTAGATACTCCTTGTGTGTCTCTGTGTCCTTATAGTGATGATTCAAACATAATTTGGACCTTCCATATTCTTATACTTTAATGAACCAGACTTAGACAGTATGAAATTTCTCTTTAGTTGACTTTCTTATTGTGGCAGAATCCAGTAGAAATTTAAGTAAAATTTATAAGACTGTGTTTAGTAGAGCAAATGAAAATGACTTTATTTTTAAAAATAGTACTGCTATTTATTTCACAGATGCACAGATCCTTTTCATAGTTACTCAGATAAACAATCTGCTCAGATGATTTATTGACAACCAAAATATATTTTATATGTCATGATTTTTACAACATCATTCCCATAATTAAGCACATCTCATTCCTCACTAAACTTTTCCTCACTACAAATTTGGGGCTGCTGTAGGGAAACGTTCATTTGTAAGTACAAATGTGATTTACATAAAGAACAGATTATAACTAAGTATATATTGAAAGTATCATAACATCTTGGATATAATTATGTTGCACATCTCTTTCTTAAAAACTACACATTTGGGAAAACTTTGCTGGAACTTCTGTTTGTAAATAAAAGGACAGAATGAATAGGAACCTTTGTATAAGGTCTGAAACTGAAGTTTCTGTGTCATAGGACAATAATAGCAGTTACACGCGCACAGGTGTTCTCACTTATTTTTATTTCATTTGACTTCTGTTAAGTTGAGCTATGCTGAAATCACATGAGTTCACAAAAAGATAGATGCCAACAGTAGTTCACTAAAAAATGAGAATTCACTCATTATCTACTCATCACTATGCTGGTGGAGGGGGAGGTGAAGTGTTTGAGTCCACAAAACACTGAAGGAGTTTCAGGGGTAAACAGCATAACAGCCAAATCCAATACAATCAACATTTAGGCTTAAAAAAGTGTAAATGACCGAACTTCGAGTCATATATGAATGTTGGAGCTTGCGGACACTTGGATGACACCACACGAGCAGTATGGAGGCATGTTGTGTTTTTTTTTTTCTGTTGTTTTATTACGTCTGAAGAAGAGGTCGCCTTGGACGAAACAGTGTTTACCCCTTAACTCCTAAAGTGTTTTGTGGACTCAAACACTTCACTTCACACTTTAGATTTTTTGGGGAACTATCCCTTTAAGGGTGTAGATTTCCTCTCATCACCAGTTGCAACACAACTAAACCACCTGTGCTTCTCGTTGTGTGACATGTGAAAAAAAGTACGTGAGTTACAGAAATATGAGCAGTGGCGGCTGGTTAAAAAGGGGTGCTGGGGCGCTGCCCCCTCCAACATCGTCAGACAAAAAAGCCTGTATAAAAATGTTAAACATAAATTAAATAGATAATATTATTTTACTCATACAATGCTCCTGGTAGACCATAAGCACCTATAGCCAATAACAATTTTTTATATGTTTGATTAACGTTTTTTTGATTTGATGTAATTAGTCGACCCTCGAGCTGACTGCCTATAGGTGGAACTGCGGCAAATCCAGTGATTTCTTTACAAAAACACCCCAGCAAGAAAAAAAAGCATAAAGGAGCTTGGTCCAGATCGACTTGATTTACAGGTTCAGCAGCAAGTGATGAGGGTGAGCTTACATCTGGGGCTTTTCCCGCTCTTGTTATGAAAGACAGAGTTGACTAACTGGATGTGGAGTAAGCTGCTTCCCCTGTTTGCTGTTTGAGAGACCTAAAGCTGCTCTGTGAAAAATGCAAACAGCATGACAGTTTCCACAGTCACAATGAGGCTACATTTTCGATGAAGGCTACAGGACTGGCATTTTATGTGTTGTGTTGTTTTTGGTGAGTCTTGGTTCAGTTTGTTTACCCCCCCAAAAAAACGAGCCGCCACTGAATACGAGCCTCAGAGAGACGACATTCAGGCAGATTCTGAGCAGAGCGTGACTAATAAACAAACTTACAGTTGGGAAATATTTATGTGGAGTCTTTACTAAACTAAAAATACAATTACAGTAAACCGTCGTTGGATATGTATATAGTGTATACTATTTTACAATCCAGATAATGTTAAACAACCACTTACATTGTTGGTGCCCAGACAAATCAGCCTGACAGCTCATTGTTATATTATGTTTATTATTCAGTTCAAGTCTTTAGAAAAATAGGTTTCAAGAAACACAAGCAAGTACAGTTGCCTATTTACATACATCATTATTATGCAATAACAGGTAAGGCAAGTTTATATGCATAGTATTGAGCACCCCACAGAAAATATAAAGGGCCCTATGATGAATTATAAAAGTGACA